TATGGATCAGGCACCTGCAACAAAATCACTCACTTAAATTCACTTTACAAAACCAATAGCTATGAGAAGTCAACAAAATGATTCTTTAAATGCAACTCTAATTTGGCAACAAAATGAACTCATTACAGTAATAAAAATAATTTGAAGAACAATAACAAATGTATGAATAGCTTAATATAATATTATTGAATCAGATGATTTTACGGTTTCAATTTCAACAATACCAAAAAAACTCAGCAAACCCATGTTTAAGAGTGATAATTGCATGTTTCACAATTTTTTGCAATGACATAGTCATAGCAATGGGACTTGAGGCTTTGTTTAATTTGGTTTGGTTTGGTTTGGACGTTGTCATAGAAACACTTATTTCAATTTGTTTTGTAAGTAATCCCCTTCTTTTAGCACAAAATTCATGTACTTCTCTGATAGCTCTGAATATATCAGTGGTAAGCTTAATTTTGACCCCATCATTGGCTGAAACACACATGAAAAATAGTATTGAGCGAAGATTCTAAACATGAATGTAAGAGAGAAGTTTAAAAAGGTTTTACATAGTAAAACCTATCAATAAAATGATAACTCTTGTATAGAAGTCTTCCGAGTTGAACTAGGGAGGAAATTTCAACAACAACAAAAATATGAATTAGGCAAACCTCTCCAAACACTTTGATCTAGATAATGAATTACTACAATGAAGCAAACATAGAACACGCATTGATGAAATCGCCATTTTTCCAATTATCTAAGCTTTGTAAATAGATCAAATAAAAAAAATAAAATTAAAAGCCCCAAAAAAAACAAACTATTCATCGCAAAATTAAAAAATTTGTGTCATCACTACTGTAAAACATAATATTTTTAATCTTGGAAGACATGATGAGGCCACAATTATATATTTTTCAACAATGCATGAAGCAACACATGACAAATTAATTGAGGGGGGGGGGGAAACAGAGATGATATGAAATGCATAGCTTGTATTGGCCACAACAAACGCTAAAACTAATTTGGAAGAAAAAAAATGAATCTGAACAATAATCCCGCAAGCAAAAATTAGTTTTTTACGTTGGTATAAAGGACCAATCATCACTTCACAAATAAAATCAAATGTTTTACATAGAAACAAAATGAAGATGCCATTTAAGTTTGAATGAGACATGAGAAATTGCCGTTTACTCATAAAGACTTCAAAACAATATTTAAGCGATTGCTATCATAAAAAAGAATCTCATGGATGACTAAATTAGGGCATCAAATCTTTACTTAGTGTGTGGATACTACTCAGTACAACTGTATCATTCTCCCATTTTCTAATTTCTTGTATTTTGTCTTCTATGAATTGAATTTCCTCCCTAAACATTTAGAGATTTCAAGTGCTTTATGTGGTTCAGGCCATCCCCAAACCCATCGAGAGAATAAAAAAAATTACCAAGATAAAATGTGGGAAAGTGAACCACAACATAGCTAAAACCGAAGCAAGTAAAACAAGTTAATAAAGATATTCAATCTTCTAACTGTACACCTAAACTGAGACTTGAAGTAGCAAATGAACTATATATAACCATAGATAAAAGGACAATCAAAATACAACTAAATTATGTACAAAGCACAATCCCAAAGACAAAAACCCTCAATGAAATTCACAAAAATTGTTGGACAATCTTTACTGTATTATGAATAAATTCTGTTTGTGTACTCAACAACAAACAGAACACAAAAGAAATAAAGGAAATGAGAGAGATTGTTTGATTACAAAAATCAAACCAGAATATAAAATATATAAATAAAACAGATTTTTATTTTGTTACAAAAACAAAATCAAAATCTAAAACAGAAAAATAATAAAACTGAAAAGTAAATTAATTACTTACCTTATTAATTTGCCGAACAAATTTTTGATCAAGTAATGTAGCAAAATGTAAAGAGCACTAGTAGAATTTAGAACCAAAAAATATTGAATTAAAAACCAAATGAAGGACTACCTATTTATAGATGCAATGGTGCCTTTTCAGTTTGAATTCAATAGGTAGCAAACATGTTTGAACAGATACAGTACTTGTTCGGCACTGTTTGAATAGATACAACCTGTTCAGTTTGAATTTTGAACAGATAACTAAATTTGTTTGGTTTATATTGGAAAGATATGGGCCTGTTTGGGTGTAGGAATAATCTGGACACCATTTTAAAATTGTTTTCAAAATTTAAATTCAAAAAAGGTAAGAATTTAATTTTAGAAAAATAAAAATCCAAAATGTTTTTGGCCCAAAAAGATAAGTATTGGGCTGGACAAGCCCAACCCAACCTCACACCACGCACCCGCACGATCAGACGGACGGCGGTGCGCGTGTGCGTGTTTATTTTTGGGTTCAATGGGTCTAGCCCACTTTGCCCATAACCTCTCCCTTCTACAAACTTGGGGTGACCCTTGGGGCCCTCCCCAAGTTGTAAACTCAAGCCTTATAAACTCATAAAATTTTTCCCACCAAACCAATGTGGGACAAGCCTTTAATTCAAATCTTTATGGAATTTCCACAAAAAACTCCATTTCCAGGAAGCTCACTTTGGCTTCAATTTCCCATTCACCTGATAATGGTTTTGAGCAACCAAATATATTACGTGAATCACAATGCGACATAGAACGTGTTACCACTTAGACCTGCCAACTTTGGGGCATGGGTCCCACCTAAAAAATAGACCAAAGTTAAGGGAAAAATTGTTTTTCCAAAACCATTTCTTACAAAAATTGCCATTATCGTCACTTGCAAAGTGGTTGTGTGTGTGTGTGTGTGTGAGAGAGAGAGAGAGAGAGAGAGAGAGAGTAAAACTAAGTAGAGCTCTTTCCGGTCTTCAAATTATGTTGTAAAGAAACTAACTTTTAAGGTAATCCCACTTACATCAAAACCAATAGAGCTCTTCTCCTCGTTCAAGTCTAGAAATTCAAACTAAGTAGAGCCCTTTCCGGTCTTCAAATTATTTTCTAAAGAAACTAACTTTTAAGGGGGAGAGAGACGTTTGTGATAGACAGAGGTACTGGTAAGCGAGAACCAAAGGTCTAGCATCAACACACATTTTGTTCAACTTGTACTTTTAACTGTCAAATGTTGATTAGGATTGATCTCAACCATAAAAACAATTGTATCTCTACGACAATTGTAGGACATTTTCAAAAACCCTTGTGGTTTATTATATAGATAAGTGGATTTTCATTTTTGTTTTGTGGCCTGTCAAAATATATAACCCACTTTGAAATCAACCATCAAAAGTATTCTTACGCAATAACAACCTTTATTACATCAACAAAGAAGCCATCAAACAGAAACTTTATGCAAAAAAGTATTCTTATGCAATAACAACCTTTACGCAAAAACTAAATTCATCAAACACAAATAAAAAGTTCAATTTCAAGTTCTAAGCACATTAAATCTTAACTCTTAAACATGATTTAAGAAGTTAAACTTTTAGCCTCTAAACACTTAATAGAACATTTAAAAAAATTGATTCAACAAATATAATTAATTTCTAGCCAATAAAAAAATTTCTGAACATAAAATTTAGCATGTAGCATAAATATAAACTATCCAGTTCATATTGATATTTTTGCCAACGTACATTTGTAATCATTTTAACTTATATCTCCTCTTTTAAACTAAGTCAAATCCATTAATTTAATTGCAAACCATTTCCCGCTGTCGTATCGTCCATATCTTTCCCTCACTGTTCTATTCATTTGTTTGCATTTTTTTTTCTCCCTATACCTCCATTTCCTGTCATCCCACCGCCTCATTGCACAACCAAACCCTTTCTCCACTTTTTGCTTAAGTTCTCTCTCACCCATGACATACCAATGCCATGAAAATGCATTTTCAAAAGTAAACCAACTAATATACTTCAAACAAAAGCAGCTCTTTGAATTGACACTTAAGGTGTTTAAATTTGGATAGAAGTTTTTTCATAGTCATGCTCAATCTAATTTTAAGATGTTTATATTATCCAAAATAATGCACGCAAGATAAAAACTAAACGCAGTTTCGTTATCATGAAAGAGTAAAATAAGAACAATTTATCAAAAAAAATAGTACTCAAGACCTAAAAAATGTATTTATGTGAGAAAAAAAAAAAATTGCTCCAATTATACACTGAGCATCAAACAGAGAAGTTGCATTTAGGAAGAAAAAAATAGCATGAAGATGAGGTTACTCTGTGCCTTATGCTAGTGACCATAGAAATTGAATGTCAACTGCAAACTAAATTGATCTAGACGTAAACCGTATTGCACAACCACCACCCTCATTGTATTCCCCTCCAAGAATATCATTTTAAATTTAGATAGGAATTTAAAAAGAAAAAAGAAAGGATAATTCAAACACAACCTTACATACGTAAGAAAAAATTATTTTTGTTGACAAAATGGTTACCAATACATGTTTTATAGAGGGGCCAATTTGAGAGAGAATAGATAAATGCATTCTCTTTACAACTATCAATTAGTAAGTAAATTGATACATACGCAGTTCCCCTAATATATTCTCTACTACTGGGAATCCTTAAACCAGATAATTGATCAAATGTAAAATTAACAGTAAGGATAGATATGTGATTTTTTTTTTTTTAATTATAATCCATAACTACACAACTGAGTGAGTAATAAGCCTATGAAACTGAGCAAAACTTTGCCAAGCCAAAATATTATTTCTGCCATTATACCCATTGGCAATATAAACTTAGGTTTTTGCTTAATGTTGCCCCCAAGCCAAAATATTGGTTCTGCCACTAAACCTATTGGCAATATAATTTAATTATGAGGCTAGGCTTGATTGTTCTAATGCTATGTCCTGAAACCATAATGTTGAAGCCATAATAGAAATATAAAATTAAAAAATATTATTCTAATGCTATGTCCTACGAAAGTCTCAATTTTCTTTTTCTTGTGAATGTTATGTTTGCTAACAGTTAAAATTGAGTCTCAAATTTATTTATTTTCTCTTCATCAAGCAGTTCTAATGGATAAATTTCTCTTACATTGTCGGTTTCGTAATGGAATGCTTTGCTTTCATGTTGAAGATCAACACAAGATCCAAGGAATAGGTGCTGGTGTCATCCCTAGTATTTTGGATGTCAACATTCTTGATGAAGTTGTTACAGTAAGCCTCGACATTTTAACATTGGGTATTGAGTTCAATTGTATGTGAAATTTCTTGCTGGTGCTCACCCGGATTCCGAGTTCAATCCATTAAGCGGATATGTAGGAATTGGTGTTGGTATTTTTCCATAATAATATAAGAAAAATATATAAAATAAATTAAATAGAAATGACAAAATAATTTTTTATTAAAAGGATGAAATACAGAATAAACGACACAACTAAAAATACAGAAATGAATCAGATTACATTACTAATAGAACAAATTAATATGGATAACTAAATATTAGAACTCATCTTTGTAAACTAAATATTGAAAAAATTAACAACAAATGATAAGAAAAAGAAGCAAATCGAAACCTATGTGATACCACAGTTTCCTTAAAATAGATTCACCGCCTCTCGATGGATGCTGGAGGTACGTCGATGTCCATCTCTCAGGATACGACGGTTGAAACTAGCTAATATAGAAGCACCTTCTGAATAGCTTCGGCGAACTTGACAATAGATACACTCTCTCTAACAAGAATCAAAGAAGAGGCTAACAAAAGAAGATAGGAAAATTTTTCTTTGGTGTAAAAAACCATCTGCAACTTTTTATCTCAACACCATCTCGTTTTCCATCACAAAACCTCTCTAAAACAGTTAACCTACTAAGTTGGAAGAGAAATGCCTCTATTTATACTAGTAAGGGAAAGCCTTAGCCATGAAGGCTAACAGAAATGGGGTCATCAAATGTCATCAACTCTAGTCATCAGGGCTAGAGTTACAAAGGTTTAAAACTCCAAAACCATTATATAAATCATAATGTGTATATAATATATAAGTTTTATTAAACTAGATGTGTTACAAAATGGATACGGGTGTTGGGTCACAACCCGATCCAAGCCCAATCTTAAACACATGCACAAACTAAGCTCAGTACAGCTCAGCCCAAAGCTTAAGACTAGGTCCAGGTCCAAGTCCAAGTCTAAGTCTAAGACCAAACCCAACACATGCACAAGTACAAGTCTAGGCCTAGTCCAAACCAAGACTAAGTCCAAATCTAACCCTAATTTTATTGATGCCCACTTTATGAGACAATTCTCATTCACAACTCAATGGTTTCAACTCATTATTTTTGTATTGCAATCTTCTTACTTAAGAGAATACAAAACTACTCAAACCCACCTCAACCAGCGGTTGGGTCCCACTTTAATTTAAAATTAAAGTTGTCGAAAATCCATTATTTTCCAACAATCCCCCACATGAATAAAATTGGCCGAATAAAGAAAAACAGACAACACTTAACAACAAAGACTCTGAGAAAGAGCACAGATAATAACCCTGCATCAAAAAAGGTAGCTGCTGGCCTTGAACCTTTCGTAGTGAACGCCTATCGGATTTACTGGCTGACCAGTGAACGTGATGTCGTGAACTGTTTTGCTGTTTGTGTAAACCAAGACAATAGACCTCACACAGGAGTTACTTTAACCATTATTCTTGTTGTCACTGGTGTGTCTGGTTTGGCCCTAAAACACTAGCCTGGTTCAGTGAGTGTTTTTAAAGAATTTGGCCTCGTCAATTCTTAAAGAAATGGCCCCACTTCACACTCACATAGGTGACCTACATAAGGTATCTCGCTATACCACGATTGACTGTTCACAACACTTAGGTCATTAAAAGCGTCAGCTTAACCTCCCACCCCACAGGGTATCACTGTATAAAGGCATGGACAGGAGGATTTACCTCCACAGTGACTCATCCGTTACACGTAATTAGGTTGTCCCTTTGAACCTAGATCTTGGGATCTCCGGTCAACTAGGTTGGGTTTTCCATTTCGATAACATTCGTTAAAGGTCTTAACCCTATTCCTTTTGACGACTTTCCTACTAACTCTCGATTTAACCTTTTGGTTAACGGATCTGTAATATCGTCCTTAGACTATATATAGTCTATAGTGACAACACACAAGTGTAGTCATCGTATGAAATTATGTCTTAGACAATAATGTCTACCTTCTATCTGTGCCCTATTAATACTTGATTGGTTGTCGCAAAATATATAAAATTGCTAGCAAAAGTTTTGATCAACGTGAAATATCCTCAAGAAAACGACAAAGCCATTCAGTTACTTTAGTAGCTTTATCTAAAGCACTGAATTCTAATTCCATCATTGACCTCGTGATACACATTTGCTTGGAAGGTCTCCAAGACACGGTTACAGCTCTAATTAGAGAAAACATATCCACTAATGGATTCATAGTCTTTGTATCAGATATCCAGTAGGCGCCTTTGTACCTTTCTAGTACAACTAGATATCAAGTGTTATGCAACCCATAATCCTGGGTGTAGTGTAAATAATTCAACACCCGCATAATGCCCTTCCAATAAGTAGCATTAGGATTGCTCGTGTATCTACTAAGCCTGCTACCTGAGTAGGCTATACCTGGCCTTGTACAACTCATCAGATACTTTAAACTTCAATGACCCGAGAATATAATAGTTGAAATATACTTTCACTATTATTCACGGCCAAATGTAGATATAAGTCTACCAATGTCCTCGACACACTTGTATTTGATTTACTAAATTTCTCAAGTATTTTATCAACATAATGAGACTGAAAAAGTACATTACTACCAGGTGTTCTAGTAATCTTAATACCCAGAATCACATCTGCAAGGCCTATACTTTCATATCAAACTTAGAATACAACGTCCACTTGGTTGTATTGAATATCTTCTCAAGTATTCAAACCTTAAAGATTTATTCAACTAAATCTTCATAGAGGAAAGCTATCTAAACATCCATATTGATGTATTTCCGGATGCCGCACAATTACGATCACACTCACTATAATTTATAGCGACCCCGGTCTTTTCCCATTTGATTATTGTATCCGGACTTAGGTTCCGTATATTCTGTCATTTTATAATTGTTGTTGTCGTCCTTTATTTTCTCATTTGGAGTTATAGGATGTGTTGGACAGGTTGTTTCAGGTTGGTTGGGTTCGTAAACCAAGTGTTGCTGTCCAGTTTTTGGGTTGGTCGCTCGAGCAAGGGATTGGTCGCTCGAGCGAGGGTTGTATTTTGGTCTGGTGGCTCGAGCCAGATTTTCTTCGCTCGAGCGAGCGATTGCGTCCAGTTTAGACCTGAAGTATAGCATTCTTGGCTCGAGCGAGCTTTTCTTCGCTCGAGCGAGTTTTTCTTGTGTCTGGTCGCTCGAGCGACCAAGTCTTCGCTCGAGCGAGCCTGTCCAGTTTAATTAGGCAGCAGCGGGTTTTTAATCAGTTTTTCATTCTATTTTGATTCCAAAACCCTAGGTCCGACTTTTCTCTCCCTCTACTCACCTTCTCTCTTAGGTTTGATCTATTTAGAGTGTGTTTTCACCCCAGATTCTTTATTAAAAAGATAGAGTGAGTCGAGGGCTTCCATTTAATCTGAACGTTTGGTGGTTTGGAGCACTTTGGCATTTGGGTCTTCATCTCCGTCTTCTCCATTCGGGTTATTTTCTTTAAAGTAGGGATTTCCTACTCCATTTTATAAGTTTTGTTCTAAGCTTAGGTATTTTGATATGTTGGGAGTACTTTGGTAATTTTGGGAAAAACCCTAGTTGTATTAATAAATTAATTTGTATAATTAATTTAAGGAAATTGGGGAATTTGGTTAAATTCATGAAATTGAGGAATTCATTGATTAAATGGTGTAGTTGGATAATTTAAATCACTCGCCTATTGAATTGTTGATATATTTATTTCCAGCCTAGAAATAACTGTTTTGGGCTATCGGTGGAGGATAGAGCTTACCTCTATAGACATTGCATGTGGATTAGGAATAACTGAAACTAATCACATTGATTAAGTCATTAATTTTGACTATTGCATTGGGGAGAGGCACTTGCCGTTAGTGGAGTTTGCCTACAACAACAATTTCCAGTCTAGTATCGGTGTGGCACCATTTGAGGCCTTGTATGGCCGACCGTGTAGATGTACTCCACGGTTTAGGGGAAGATAGGGGATGGACCTCTAAACCGGATTTTGTTTGGGAGGAGATAGGGGATGGACTCCATTAGCATCACTATTATGTGTGCTTATTATATTGAAGTGTTTTTACATGTCATTGATACAGCACTAAAATGTGTATCAAACGGGAAGTATGAAGTGTTTTGATATGAGCCTGAGTCTCATTTGTTTGTTTGATATTGGAAGTAATGTGGATATAACATGTATAGTTCACTGTTGTAAGTTTGGCCAGGTTCTGAGCCATATTGATAATAAAGAAAAGTGAAACGTGTCATAGACATTAGTGTCATGGAACTGTCTAATGATGTAATTGATTATCTTGGTTAACCATCTATTGATTGACATAGCTTTATTCATTGCTTATATTTGGTTTAGTATTTTTCTACTGGGCTGTGGCTCACCCTTTCTGGGAACATCATTTTCAGGTTCAGGTGATGAGCTACCTCCAAGAACTTAGCTTGGAAGGATTAAATTTTTGGATTCTGAAGACTTGTCTTTAGTTATTTGTTTTTCTTTAAGATTACATGTAAACATTCAAGCCAAGGGCTTAACTTGTAAATGAGCTAGTACTCATTCTTTTGTGTCCAAGTGATAGCTTGGAAAGATGTAAGCCCTTAGGGCATTTATTTTGATGTTACATGTAATGGCTTTCAATAAAAGTACTCTGATGAATAACTCAAATGATTCGTTTCTTTTATTAATGCATGTTATTGTTGTGTATATTATGGGTTTAATTTGAGGGCGTTACATAATTGGTGATCACGCATCAAAGTAATACATGCATTCTCTTTGCTGGTATCCTTTGATAACAAGCCTATCTCATCGGCTTTCATTCACTTGCATCCCAAGGCTTACTACCTATGTAAGAAAAAGTTAAATTTTCTAGAGAAATCACAGCTTCAAAGAAGCTTTTAGCCTCACTAGCCACCATATAGGTTTAAGAAGATTTAGATAGAAGAACTTTAAATTCCTAACATATTAACATCTTTTAGGCTCATCTCTTTTCTCATGAAAATCGCTTCCTTAATTTCATAATGGCATTCTTGTGTAAATTTGAATATCAGATTTATCCACAAGAAAACCGATATGCATTATTGTGCATAACCGTTGAACGCAAAGTCAACGGATTTTTAAAGCTATTCTACCGCTTGGGTTTAGGTATTGTCACCTTTTGTATGACACCCCCACATTTGTAGAATTTATACGAAGGCTTTCGGCCTTTCCAAAAATTCATGCAGGGTCTTTAAACAATTCCTTGTATCACAATGATTATGAGACTCTCATAATCATACACTACAACAAAATGGTTCTTTAATGACAAAATCACTTCGTCTCCAATAGTGAAATTTTTGTCACCAAATTAATCCGTGACGAAATAATTTCGTCACCACATTCGTCATCAATTCATCGTCACTAAAAGTACCTGGGGACGAAAATTTATTTTGTCACCTATTATTGGTATTTGGTGGCGAAATATTTCGTCACTAAATGTTAAATATTTTGTCACCTATAACATCCATTTCGTCGCTAGAATTAAATAAAATTTTATTATATTTTTTTGGATGACAAAATATTTTGTCAATAAAAATAGTCATAAAATTTTTAGTGACGAAAATATCGTCACCAAAAGATGCCCCAAAAAAAAAAAGATCCTTTAGTGATGAAAATTTTTGTCAACAAATATTTCAAATTAGTGATGAAATAGTAAACATCTGTGACAAAATTATTTGTTGGGATTAAAAGTTTTAACGACAATTGTTTTTTCGTCACCAATAATAAATCAATTTTAAAAATTAGGGGAAGGGGAGAGATATATTTGCAATTTCTATATATATTTTTCAATAAACAATCCCTGTGTATTTTAATAATCTATTCGATAAAATATCTAGTACAAATCAATATAAAATTAAACTGTTCATTTCATAAAGCAACACAAACAAAATACATGTCTTATAGTATCAAGAAATTAATATAAAACATCCAAACTATAACATCTCTTCTAGCAAAATAAAAAACTACAATACAGTCAAAATAACTTGTGCATTTTAATAACCTGCTGAATATAATATCCATTACAAATCATTACAAAAACTTGTTCATTTGGTAACATCAACAAAAACCTGTTCATTTTAATCTATTCAATAAAATATCAACAAAAAGATAAGATCCAACACAATATAATCATAACCCACAACAACATAGTCAAAATACATGTTTGGTAATATCAACAAAAACATGTTCATTTTAATCTATTCAATAAAATATCAACAAAAAAACTCTTGCTTTGCAGGTTACCAAATTCGTTCATCTCCAATCCCATTTAAAAAACAAAAAAACAACAACAACATCAACAATAGGTTAAAGTAACCATTCACTAAATATGTTAACATGCAACTAGAAGAGAAAAATACAAATTTCGAAGTGAATTTCAAACCAAAATTTACCGTGTTTGTTCCGTAAATTTTTACAACTTACATTAGTTCCTCCCAACATGGTCATGATGTTTCCCGGGCCTTTTAATGACTATTTTAGGATTTTACTCCCTAATGGTCTATTTTCAAGCCTAAATGTTTTCCAACCGAGAGTCCTATGATTGTTTTATAAGTTTTCACAACTTATGTTGATCCCTCCCAAGGTGTCCATGATAATTTCTAAACTTTTTTGTGCCTATTTAACGATTTTGCTCCTCGATGGCTTATTTTCATGCGTAAGTGTTGGAACTTTACAAATTTCAAAGTAGTTTTTAAATTGGGAGTCTCGTGCTTGTTCTATAAGTTTTCACAATTTACATTGGTTCTGTCAAGGTGTTCATGATGTTTCCCGGGCCTTCTTGTTCATATTTCATTATTTTGTCCCTTAATGGTCTATTTTCAACCTTAAGTGGTGGAAAAAGACATAATTCAAAGTAGTTTTCAAACTAGGAGTCACATGCTTGTTCCAGTAGGAAGCCAAGTGCTTGTTCCGTAAGTTTACACATCTTATGGTGCTCCGTCTCAAGGTGTTTGTGATGTTTTTTGGGCCTTTACATGCATATTTCATTATTTTCCCGGGACCTTGTGCCTAAATGTCAAAAGTAGTTTTTTATTCTACCCTAGTTGAAGAAGAAATTTTCTACTAAATTGACATATAAACATAATATACTAACCAAGAAGCTTGTCTATCAGAATCTGAACTTTCCCCACTCTCAAAATTTCCCGTGATACCTTTCTGCCTCAAACACTCTATGATACTTTGTATCTTCTTGTTTTGTTGCTTCTCTGACTTTTGAAACCTTGCAATTTGTTCATTTTGCTGTGCTATTTGCATTTCAAGGTGTTGAACATAGTCACTATTTTCAGCAGGTGCAACTATAGTCTTCATAGAAGAAGAAGGCCTCATGCCGAGTCCTTTCACATAACCTGACCTTGGCTTAAGCACCTTGACTGACAACTCCTCTGAGCTCAAGGGGATCGCACCAGTCTGCGAGAGATGTTCTGCTTGTGTCTGTATCATGTTGTCCTGTTAATTTAAAATAAATCGAACAATTATTAGTTATTCTACCCTACAAAGCAAAATAAATAATTTTATCAAAATTAATATGCATAGCCTTGTACATACATAATTAGCTTGGCTCTCCGACGAAATCCATTCATGCGCGTTCGAATTGTAGTGGATGGCCTTGTAAAATTTTGCCAATTCGGGCACTTTTCCACTTCCAATTATCTTATTCATTTGTTTTTGAATGTTATTTCAAATATTTAAATAACAAAGCCTACTAATCTAATAAAATAAAATAGTAGAACGCACCGAGCTATGCACCCTGACCGGGATTGATTTTGATCCACATCTATGTTTTGTTTTCATTTGCATCCTATTATTCACATTAGTTAGTGATTGTTCCTACACAATTGAAACACCAATAAAAACAACAAAACTTAACATTAGTAAGAAGAAATTTAATTTTTGACAATTAATATAAAACATTTTACCATGAATTCTTTACTATTCCATTTCTTGTCAATTAGAGATGTCCACTGATTAAGAGTAACACTTGCAGGTGGGTGGCTTCTCGCGTACTCCTCCCCTCTTGCATCCTTAAGTTGCTTGTATTGTTTGTGCAACCTATAGGTGAAGGTACTTAATCGCCGACCAAAGTGTGTGTTTAAAGTCCTTGCTACATCGCTTGGATTGCCTTGTAGATCAAACTGATCCTGCAAAATCAAATCATTTTTTTATAACTTAAATAACCTAAATTTTCTATCATGTTTCTGTTTTTGTTTTTCCTTTTAGGACAAAGATAAGCTAATAAGCAACCTAAAAACGATTCAGGACTATCTTTGCTCTTTCAAGTCACAGGTATGCTAAGATGTTGAGACCTGGTTTTCTCATTGGCTTTCCATGTTCTCGAGGATTCAGTAAATTATATGTAAATAAAGGGATACAATAGTAGTTATGCACATCATGATGAGTATGCTGAGGGCATTTTGGAATCAATAGTCTACTCAATTTTGTTCAAAGTATTCTGTATAACTGATAAGGTGTTTCCAATTTCCCTACATTTAGGCTGTTTCAACCAAAGTAATTAAGAGAATCTCAGAATTCTGTCAAAAATATCAATGAACATAAGTGTGGTGCTTTTATTTCTTACTAGCTTATCGAATTTTGTGAAAGTTAAATCGGATGGTAAAGTTTAAGGAATATTGCTGTAAGCAAATCATTTGATGAATGATCGTCAGATTTGAGGGGGGAAATATGTTGGGGGAAAACAAAAGTGAAAAACTCTAAAAAATACTGCTTCAGTGAAACCCAGGATTCCTGGTTTTCAGCTAGACTCTTGCAATTTATGGATGATGATGAAAAATAATGTTAACTTTATCCTTAATCTTTTTAATTTATTTATTTTGTGAGTTTTTTGCTACCCTCGTGAACAGGGTTTAACAGTTGTCAATATATCAGCAACAATATTTCCACAAACACTAGATTGGCTACATAGTCATCTTCTTTAGGTATGTTTGTCTTCTAACCCTTTATTTGCCTGAACTGTTCAGAGCAGGTATATGCTTCTCTAATTGTAATAAAATTTGGCCATAAAATGGAATTGCATTAAGTTCAGAGGTGAAGGCAATTCGATCTATGGGTGGGGCTATCCTGCCTTAAAGTAGGGCCAATTAGTTTATTCAAGTTCTACTCATGATAGATTCGTCAAAAAGTTATTTGAGAGTAACTTGTTATGTAAATAAATTAAATTTGAACGTATTTTTCAAGTATATTAAGTTCTTAAGTCAAATTTAAATATGATGCAACTTGATTTTATAAGCTGTTACACACTATAAAAAATTTACTATTTGAACTCAATTTGTTATCAATTTCATTTGAAATGGAATCAAAATATAAAACGAACAAGACTTGAATTGAACACATTTTTTTCTCTGAATCTTTTTGCAATGTGAATTAGAAGAGGCTAATGCACTAAAAACCATGGCAATAAGTCCATGAACTCACAACTTCAGTGAGTCACAACAAGTGAGGTTGACAGTGAATGTTGGCTGGCTGGTCAAGTGTAGAAACCAAGACCCCACCAAACAACATTTTAACCCACTCCTAGAGCCCGCAGAGAGAGAGAGAGAGAGAGAGAGAGATGTCAGCCCATTGTTTTGCAAAGGGGAAGGGGGGCCATAAAGAAGAACATCAAATAAGCCATTATTGCTTTATAGACTTTAGCATTCACTTTTTTTTTCGAAACATTGTCCTACTTGGTTTGTTTCTATGTTTTGGACTCTATCATGTTTTTTTCTTCCTTTTTTTTTTTTCACCATCTGCTATGGTAGACCAAACCAGACCAGACCAGTCCTCCTCTGCTTCTCACTATATGAAGCATGTGGTGTCGAATTTGTGACTAATAGATTCAAAATCCATGCATTCATTCATGCCCAAGTACAAGGGGGAAAAAAAAATTCTCAAAATTTAAAAAAAAACTCTCAACTACTGTTGACCAAAATCAGGTTCAATTCATCTGACAACATTTCACCAAAGTGAGATTCAAATGCATGTATTTATTTTGGTAAATATGGAAAATGCATAGATTTATAAGTCATACATAATGCATGTATTCATGTCATAGAATCAATCTCAAAATACCCAAAATGCATTCATGTCATACAAAATGCATGTATTCAGGTTCAACTCATCTAGCATATGGGTTGATGAAGTCTATGCTTTGTGCTTTGTTTTTATAAGATTACTAGTTAATCTTTGATTATTACGATTGGGGTTTACCTGAATATGTACGCAAAAACTCCTTGAGTCATTAAAAATACAATTAGTTTGAACTAACTCAAGAAATTCAGGATGACTCGGGAGAGATATGCTTATCGTATAAAATTAAATTATAGAATAAAAAATGAGATCCAATCCTCATCCTTTGTGTTTTATTTTATAAGTTAATTATGTGTAATTAAACTTTCTTGTTGTGAATTGGTAAAAAATGTCCTACAAAAAGAATCAAAGATGTGAATATGCAAACCGCCACAAACAACCCACCGAAATAGATTAAAGTGGCGACAAACAAAATTAACAAATCTGACCATAATCGTGATTAAGAAAATAAAATAAAAAAAACAAAACAAAACAAATTGATGACAATAACTTTCATCTTGTTGTAATAGAAAACATATTCAAGCACTAAAACCAACTCATTAGTAAACGACATTTTCATAATAAGACAATGCAAACAAAGAAAGCAATATATATATATATATAAAATAATCCAACAAACTGAAGTGGATTGGCAGATGCAAACTAATAAAGCACATATTCTAAGCAAAGGCCCAAAAAGTCAATTTAAACAGGTATATGCAAACTAAAGTGGTATGTTTGTCTTCTAACCCTCTATTTCTCTTTGAAGTTATATAATTTTCCTGGGAATACTTTTCACTACGCAAGGACGCGACCTGGGGGATACATAGTTATAGTTGCATTCTTACTAATCGTTAATTTCTTTCCAAAACTAGAAGTCTTTGATATGCTACCATGTAATATCTTGTTTACTAGCACCATTCTTCTCTGATACCCATGTAATATCCCCTATGCTACACCATTCTTCTCTAATCCTTTCCATCAATTACATCAATTTCTATTTCAAAAAATATAAAAGGCAATAGTGAAGGGTTTCAATTTTCATGTGTCATGCCTCTTTTACTTGACAATAATTACCTCCAAGCGTTGGATCATCGGCTTCTTATCAGCATCATTAACCTTCTTCCACCTACGAACGCTCAAGTCTGGTAATTGTGTTTGAACCTCTATACCAATCTTGGAGGCCAGCTTAGAGGTTTGATCTCCTACTGGCGCACGAAACTGTTCAGGTACAGGAACCACCATCTTTCCATCTTTCTCGACAATGCGTTGGGCTTGTATGCCGCGTGTCGGGCCATGACCTCGTTTGTCATGTGGTGCTGTAAGGACATAATATTAATTGAGTTAGTAAGTAAACAAATGCAAGTTAGACCTTAAATTGAATATAAACAACTTTGCAAGCTTACCAACGCTGCTAGATGCAGTCACCTCATGCTCAGGTTGCACATTATGAGGTGGTAAGGGTTGGGTACCAACCTCTTGACCTGGGGGATCCATCCCTTCCTCTGGGGTGTGAGTTAATGGGCCCGAATGAGACTGTAAACGAAACCCCTGTGGCATCTCTTGTTCTTGATGAAATAACATAATCAAATAGTAAATAAGATATTTAACATAGTTAAAATATATTTAAAAAAAAAATATGATGTTTAAGATATGTGAAGAAGATATTTAAACAGTAAAAGACATGTTGACACACAAATATAAAATAATGTATAAAATTCCTTGCAATAAAAAGAACCCAATGACTCATCATCACCGTCGTTCTCACTCTCTGACGATTTATACTCATCATCATCATCTACCTCAACCCTAATTCCCTTTTCCTTTGCATTTGCACATTTGGGCTGAATGACAGTCATCAAAGAATTTGTAATATTCTTCACTCCAAGATTGTTCATTACCTCACAGTTCTTCTGAATTCGCTTATTTCTTTGTTTCTCATATTCTGTTAGCTTCTTAGTTCTCAAATCACCGGGTTTCAGCCATTGTTTTTTTCCTTTGATCATTTTTCTACAACTATATAACACCATTCAACTTTAATTGGAAAATATAAACAATATAATTATGCACCATTAAATAAAAGAAGAAAAACATAATCCCAAAATATCCAAAACACCTTAATTGAAAGGTACTTTACGTAACCTTGTCATACCAAATAGATTAAATGTTTCTAGCGAACTTGTCGCCAAACCATAATCCAAAAGGTACAAAATTTAAACTTGGCACATGACAAAAATTCAAAAACATTACTCATCATGATAAGGCAAAGCAGCAACAGTAGCTCAGGCAGAGCAGCAGCAGCTCCATAATTCTAAAACTATCAAGTTGCTCTATAATTCTAAACAATGGGATCTTTTAATAAGGCAGAGCAGCAGTGTAGCCACAGGTAGAGCAACAACAGCCACAGCAGTCAGCTGCAGCCAAGGCCAAAGTCCACAGACAGAGCAGCAACAGCAGCCAGCTGCAGCCAAGATCACAGTCCACAGACAGAGCAGCTAATACTACAGCTGCTGCAGCTGCAGCTGCTGCTTTCTCTATGGTTTAGTTAGATAGTTATAGTCAGGTTTAGTTAAACAGAGCAGATAAAAGTTAATTTGGTTGGGGAAGCAAGCTAATTTGGCTAATTGAATTGTTGGTGGAGGTGTTAGGAGATTTAATATATAGGCAACAAATTGTTGATGGGTTTGGTGAATCAATGGTTGAGCCATGGTTGGTTGCTCATGGTGATCCTTCTAGGTAACATGCTTTTGGTGTTCTTACTCATTTGTTCATAATTTCAATTTTTATACCTTTGATTAATTTTGGGTTTTGCTTTAAATTGGAATTAATAGTGATATACTAGTCTGAACTATGGAGTTTCTGAAAAATGCATATTTTCATTCTACATAACAACGACGTAATTCCAATTCCATGGAAATCCATGAAAAATCACGTCTTGAATTAGCAAAACCTAAATACAACATTGAATGGGGACCGACAAGAACAAAGAAACTGCAACCAAAGTCCATACAACTCTATTGGCATGAAAGCTATGAACCAACATCTCTATTATAAGCAAGAACTAATAAGATAGACAACCGTTTAATGATGTCCAGCTTGGGGTTTGCTTTTCATTTGAATCTTATAAGTGGAATTCAATGCTCATTTACATTCTACGTGTGAAATAAATTGATAATATTGTCCATTGGTCATATCAATAGTATAGTGGTTTCTTATTTTGCCTCATGTACATAATCCTAAAAATATTAATAGATGCATAATCAACCTTATAGTGGTTTGATGGAAAAATATTACTTCTAAAAATACATGTAGGTAAACAAATTAATAAAGATGGAGGCATGTTCATGCAAGAGAGAGAGAGAGTCTGAAGAAATGGTAACTGACATAAGTTTTGTAATCAAGTTTTTCTACAACGAAAGAATCCGTTATGGTATTCACATTGGCTTTACATTGGTTCATCCAGTGGTTCTCCAAAACACTAGATCACTACACCATTCCATCTCACCCTCTCACCATTCTCCAAAACACTATTTCACCTGTTTTCTACAATCTAAAAAAACATTACAAACAAACTTCACAAACACACACACACACACACACACACACACATATAGATATAAGATCAAATAATTCAAGATTAACCCTCATTCCATAAGAATCCACATACTACACATTCAAATGGACAGGTTTGGATGGGTTTGGATAGGTTATAAATGGGTTTGGTTGGGATGGAAGTGCTGGCAGATGCGATGGCTGTAGGGGTGGTGGGGAATGGCAGTGGTAGAGAAGTGGTTGTGGTAAGGTAAGTGATGGTGGCTGCGTAGTTGGGCTGACTCAAAGAACAAAAAATAAATAAGTTCGGTTGGGTTATCTAATGGATAATTATTAGGTAGTTTAGTACTTACCCACCATGTAAGATTCAATTTTTTTTTTAAAGATTCATTTTAAATAGGTATAAGTAGGTCATGACTCATTTAAATTTCTAATGAAATTGGTCTGTACTTACCCTTCTCTTTCTCTAGGAGGAGTCTAGCATGCACAGTTTACCAAACGAAAAAAAATCAAATTTGTACTTTCTATTACAAGTATAATTTATAACTTCAAAGTCTCATGGGATCTACAAGGCCCAATCAAGGGAAAAATAATATATACAATCTAACTTTATTCACTAATATATCAAATTCAGGTACTGTTTCTTTCAAAGTGGAAATGGTTTGAATGGTTCTGAACCCCTAAATGACTGAAAACATTACATCTTATAAGAACAAACTCATGAAACCTAGAGATTCATATCTTTCTAGAAACCGATTTATATTGATTTCCTTGTTGAGAAACCAAATTGTGAATATTTTTATTTTTTCAAAAGGCATGCCCATTAGAAATATAATGAATCAATTATGTCTCACATGAATGGACAGTAATTGTTCCAAGTTATATGAATCATATTGAGACCCAATGATGTTTTTAACTAAAGATGAAATATAGCATTTTAAGTTAGTGACATATTGGCTAAGCTCCAAACATTGTATACAACATACATACATATAAATTACCCTAAGTGAAGGGGGAGGAGGATGTAGCTCATGAGACTGAAATCACCAAGCTAAGCCCTGTAATTGAGAAGCCATTTTGATAATGGTAATTTTTTTAAATTTAATAAAATAATAGTAGTCCAAAAGCATAAAGTATGCAACAAATTAATTAGCATTTTAGTGGGTCATGCAAGAGTTCTTAACTAAGTTAAGAAATTAAGTACCAAAATTCAAATAAAATGGTTCAATGGAAAATAAATTCAAGCTTCTTTACAGAAAATAAGCAAACAATGGTTCAGTGGAAGCTGCGTAAATGGCCAAATTCCACAATCCCAATACACAATCTTCTTCTCTCGACACAAATTCAGTCCTTAGGCCTATTTTCAAGAGGTAAGATTAGATTAACACGAACAAAGAAGCAAACCCACTAAAAAGCAAGGCAAACCCATAATTGGTAATATAGCACCAATCGAATATTTGGCTTTCACATGCCCCTAATAGCACAAATCAACCCAACAAGAAGAAAATCAAGACATGTGAATCCAAAAGAACATTTCTAAAACTCTAATAAAAAATAGCAAACACAGATATGGTAGAGCCAAACAAATATTCGGAGATAACGAAATTCGAGTATCAAATAAAAAATTGAGAAAGGGTTTGTAAAGCACGGGGCGTGTTTGGGAATTTTGAAGAGGAAATTTCAAAAATGGAGTGATTGTGAAAGAGATAGAGATAGAGATAGAGATAGAGAGAGAGAGAGAGAGAGAGAGAGAGAGAGAGAGAGAGGGAGGGGAATCCGAACATACCTCAAGAATGGAACCGTCAATCGTTGCCACCGCTGAACGGAGAGCACCGTTCGAAGTCGAAGTTTCGCGCCACACAAATCAGTCTTCCCTTCGAACCCTCTCTCTTCTCCCTCTCATCTAATACATTTTGCAGCTTACAAATTCTATGTTCAGAAGACAAACGAAAAAATTTAGTAGCCTATTTTGGGTTTTCTTTTGCCGCTCAATTTTCCCTCCGAAATTGGTGACAAAATTATTTGCTCACCAAAAGGTAAAATTACTGACAACGGAATTAGTTTTCTCAATAAATGATATAAAAATATTAAAATTTATTGGTGACGAAAATATATTCGTCATTAATAATTTTATAATTGGTGACCAATTTTTTCCTCACCAAAAGTCTCAAAATTTTGGCGCAATCCAAAAAAATAGCAGAAAAATCTTTAGTGACAAAAAAAAAATAAAAATAATGCGAAAAATAATTTTGTCACCTAATTTTTTTATTATATATGTAGATTGGTGACGAATTTTTTTTTTCCTCTCTAAAAATGGCACATTTGGAGACGAAATATTATTTTCTTCACTAAAAGGTACGTCCTTCGTGACAAAATTTATTTTCGTCATTAGTTTTCATCTCCAAAGACTCTTTTTGTTGTAGTGATATCACAGAAAATACATTCTCAAACCGTCATCAACCGAATTAGGTCTCTTCCGAATTCAAGGCACCAAACAAATTTTGGTCCTACATGTCACTCCGAAGTCAATAGCCTTCCTATTTGGAATCACAAACCTAGTGATCAATAGTCTACTATTCAGAACTTCATAACATGGCCAGTAGTCTTATCACTAGGAATCATTAATTTCTCATCATGTGATCAATAGACTTTCCATTACTAGGAACCACAATGTTTTAAATGTGATTAGTAGTCACTTTCATTACTAAGAATCATTATGTCTTGACATATGATCAGTAGCCTCTCCATTACTAGGAACCATCATGTCTTGATATGTGATCAGTAATCTATCCACTATTAGGAACTACAATCTCATAACTGTGTAGTCAGTGGTTTAACACCTCCTAGGAACCACCAATTTTCTATCTCTGTGATCAGTGATCTAGTATGCACTAGGAGCCACCAACATAAGAATATATTTGGAATTTAAAAAATTCAAAAATATATCCACCCATCCTAACGGGTTGTCTCATCTTTGCTTTCAAGCAAAGTCACCTAGCAATCATACATGCTATAATTGACACAAGGATAATATACTAATTGCATTTGATTAATTCAAAGATATTATCATGCAATCTTATGATTTTCTTTAATCACACTTGATCTCTCTAGATCTTCCTTTAAAAACTTCATAAGGGTTAAGGTTGTTAGGTGGAATAACATTTTCTGTTGTCACCTCTTGAAACCATTTCTGAAAAATCACTACAGAATTTCATTATTTTGTTTTCCCATAAACTAAATTTAACACTAGAAAATCCCACAGTCTGAAATTTAATTCATAACTAATCTCACCACTTATCCTAGAATCGAACATGGTCAAAAAAGTTTCTAGAAAGACTGGAAGGGTCACATCGGTCCCACTTAAGACCCAATTAACCATAGACAAAATTTTCAAGAGCATGTTGACTAGTAGTCTATGAGAAACAAATTTATATTTAAGTTTTTTAAGGAATAAACTAGGTTAAAACAAACCAAGTTTATAAAACTTATAAGGTATTAAAAATTGCTATCAGAATTACACCACTCATAAAAAGTTAACTGGTACTTCTGGAACTGAACCCATTATTTCTAAACAAAATAAAAAATATTTTAGCTAATGCTAAAATTTGGTTTCTTTTCCCAAAACAAAACACTTTGGAAATAATCAAATTATAACCAAAGACTTCCTCTAATCACAAAGGTTTGAAATCAAATCCATCTTAGTTGGCATTTTTGAACAAATCAGAAATACTCCTTAGCCAAAGCTAAACTTTGGTTTCTATTGCAGAAAACCAAAACACTTTGGGAATAAAAAATTAATCCCAATGACTTTCTTTAAACCTGAAGGTTTATAATTTCTCCCATTCCTCCTTTCCTTTCACTATGGTGAAACTATTACAAATTAAAATGAAAAACACTACAAATGGAAATGGAAGTGCAACTGTTGCAATTATAAATTGTCTAAATCTGCAAAACGGAGTTCATGGTTGCATCCAAAATCGTCTATTTAGCGAAGAACATACTTCTCCACTTGTAATGCTTATCATTGTAAAAAACACATTACAAAACTCTATCCTCGTTGCCGCTAAATCTCCATACTCACTGTTCATATACACACTTAGATACATAATAAGTCAATGAACCAGTAAAGTGAATATTACACAAGTAATTTCAGTTATAACTCGCAATGTGTAATTTAAAGGATATAGATGCATTGTCGTTACAAGAATGTCATGAGTTGCATAGCAATAAATCAATTATACATAAAGGAATATTATGGTTATAATGTTGGCAATCAAACCATGCAACTATGAGCAAATATATATAACAATGGAGTTAAACTCCCACTTATCATTCCATGAATAAAAAAATATTTTCGAGTAATGTCCTTGATAACCTATATCCAGACATGAAAGAACTCACAATTGATACAACAAAAAATAAATAGAATGAATAAGAGTTAATATCACTACAATACCAAGCTATACCACCATGTGATAATGCAACACAATTATAAGCAAGCTTAGAAATAAGACCATTATATAGAAAAATAGAAACTATTTTACTAAATTTTCTCCCAAAACAAACATGTTTAAAGATATTCTATACCGTCGAAAACCTCTCGATTAGCTGAATCTCTTGACATTCTGAAAATTCAGTTGTTTGTTTTTTTTCCATAATTTAATTAATCAAATTAAATTGAAATTGTTACCAAACTTTCAAAATAACATACTGAATAAATCTGAAATCAAATTGAACTATAAAGTGAATAATTAAATTCACTAAAATTCCGAAGGTCCAATATTATTCCTTATTCCATGCAAAGGTAATCTTGTTCAAATAAAAAATTAGTAGTTCAATTTACTAATTCCAATTTATTTTATTTGTTCGCATTATATATCATCCTTTTTTGCTTTGGTAAACCTGTAAAGAAAGTTAGCTACAAAAGAAAATAATCAAACAAATCAAATAAAATAGTAAGAATCCTACATAATAAAATTTGTTATTTTTATAACTCCTACCAACTTAAACACTAACAATCAAATAACTCATGCAATAACAACTAATTAATATAAAATTAATTATTTGAATAAATTATTAGAAATAAACAACTCAAAACAATCCAATAACTCTAGGTAATTAAATTAATTTTAATTTCAAGAGTTACTAGAATAAATTAAAATAAAAGCTAAATTATTTTTCAAAAACTATTTATAAAAAATCTGTTTTATGATTGTTGGTATTTTCCCAAAATAATACAAGAAAAATATATAAAATAAATTAAATAGAAATGACAAAATATTTTTTTATTAAAAGGATGAAATACAAAATAAACGACACAACTAAAAATACGGAAATGAATCAGATTACATTACTAATAGAACAAATTATTAACATGGACAACTAAAGATTAGAACTCACTTTGTAAACTAAATATTGAAAAAATTAACAACAAATGATAAGAAAAGAAACAAACTGAAACCTATGTGATACCACCGTTTCCTTAAAATAGATCCACTGCCTCTCAATGGATGCTGGAGGTACGCTGGCATATGTCTCTCAGGATACGATGGTTGAAACTAGCTAATACAGAAGCACCTTCTGAATAGCTTCGGCGAACTTGACAATGGATGCACTCTCTCTAACAAGAACCAAATAAGAGTCTAACAAAAGAAGACAAAAAAATTTTTCTTTGTTGTAAAAAATCATCTCCAACTTTTTATCTCAACATCATCTTATTTTCCATCACAAAACCTCTCTAAAACAACTTATTAAGTTAGAGGAGAAATACCTCTATTTATACTAGTAGGGGAGAGCCTTAGCCATAGGCTAACGTCAATAAGGTCATCAAATGTCATCAACTCTAGCCATTAGGGCTAGAGTTACAAAGGTTTAAAGCTCCAAAACCATTATATAAATCATAATGTGTATATAATATATAAGTTTTGAAAATTAAACTAGATGTGTTGCAAAATGGATACAGGTGTTGGGTCACAACCCGATCCAAGCCCAATCTCAAACACATGCACAAACTAAGCCCAGCACAGCTCAGCCCAAAACTTAAGATTAGGTCCAAGTCCAAGTCTAATACCACACCCAGCACATGCACAAGTATAAGTCTAGGCCCAGTTCAAACCAAGACTAAGTCCAAATCTAAACCCAACTTTATTGATGTCCATTTTATGAGACGATTCTCATTCACAACTCAATGGTTTCGACTCATTATTTTTGTATTGTAATCTTCTCACTTAAGAGAATACAAAACCACTCAAACCCACCTCAGCCAAAGGTTGGGTCCCATTTTTATTTCGAATTAAATTTGCCGAAAATCCATTATTTTCCAACAATTGAATCCTTAATCATATGTAGGGTATGAATTATGTTAACAAATTTTTACTTTTTATTTATTAACCTCAGTGCAACGTTTCAGGTATCTAGTGAAGAATCTATCGAAACTGCTAAGCTTTTTGCACTGAAAGAAGGTTTGCTGGTATATGCCTCCTACTTAATGAAGCTCACTTATAATGGTCTCATGCACATTTCTATCACTGCATTCTCGTGGTTGTCACTGATCATGTAGTTCCCAAATTCCTGTCTGAATTAGGTATAGGAACACAAAAATTGATCACAGAATCAGAAACAAAATGTTCATGGACAAGATTTTTTAGAAGTGGCTGCTGCCTTGTCATTGCTTGCCTTTGTAAGAATCCAATTTTTGACAATGTTTTTGGAAACATGATTTGCAGGTAGGGATTTTACCAGGAGCTGCTGCTGCTGCTGCAATAAAGGTAGCAAAGAGGCCAGAAAATGCTGGAAAACTCGTTGTAAGTTGCTGTGAATTGATCTTGTTTAATAACTACATTAGAATCCTTTGGTGCTACTTCAGGCAACAACTAAGGTTTTGTCTGGATATATAAATTTTAAATGAAATGATTTGAGGTTCAATTTTACCCAATGAGATGTGTATATTGCTTAAATTGTTTGACTGACAAATGAGTTGAACTGGTTTAGGAGCATTTGTAATTTTAATCCCGATTTGGATCAATCTTGTTGGGAAATATGTTCTACCAAAGGAAAGGAAAAGGTTACTTTGGGATCAGGGAAATAAATAAAATTGAAACAAGACAAATTGGCATCACTTAAATGATCCAAACCATATTCGTAGGCCGGTAATTTTTCTAGTTAGATCGAACTAGTGGAAGCAGATGGAAAAAGGAACAGAGTGAGATCAAAGAAACTAGCGGACTGATCATTAAATAATTACAAACGGGTGAAAATTTTGACATCATCCGAAAATTTATTATCCCTTCTTTTTACTTCATGGAAAAAAGGGTATTACACGAATCTAATTTTTCTCGAGCCTAGGGTGTGCTTTGCATTTCTATAGAGAGACAGAACCAAAGGTTGTGATCAGTGGACAACTAACTTTAGTATTATTAATCATATGAATGTTATTTTTTGCACTTTTCTTTTATTTTTTATTTTTTAAGAAACTACTGAAAATTTTCATATATTTTTCTTATTGTCAGGTTATTTTCCCCAGCTTCGGAGAGCATTATCTGTCAACAATACTGTTTGACTCCTTTAGGCATGAGGCAGAAAACATGGCTATTGAATGACCAAAGTCGAGTTCTTTTAAATCATTTAAGAAATATGGAAAGAATTTGGTTTTTTTTTTTAAAAAAGAAAACAAATCTTGTATGTTGTTTTTGTACTTTTTGTATTGCAGTATGAACTGAATTTGTAACCAGTTGATTGTTCAAAATAAAGATTGGGTTAATAAAGATAGAAATATACTTTGAGTGACATAATTGTTTTTCTTGCTGGAATAATTCTAGAAAAGATAGTTATAAATAAATTTTCAAGCTAGTTTTTCAAGCTTTTTCCAAATTTTCTAATAGTGACATGAGTTTGTTCAAAATTTTAAAAAAATCACTTTGCCTCTTCAACTATTGCACTTAACCCTTGAGCTGCCAAATTGAACAATTTTTTTCTAAAATTATTGATATTAGTTTATTTTGCTTAATATTTTTGATCAAATGTTACATGTGTACAAAAATATTTGTGCACGGGATTAGTTTAATTTAGTTATGGGGGAATTATCACTACAAGAAAACGCAGAAATGGCGACTAAAAAAATTATTTTCGTCGCTGAAAGTGCCATTTTCGGCGACTAAAATGGAATTAGTAGCCAAACTTTTGGCGACTAAAACAATTTAGTAGCCAAATGTATGGTTATTGGCGACTAAAAATCAATTTAGTCGCCGATTATATGTGTTTTACCGACTAAAGGTTTTTTAGTAGCCAAAAGTGACGGTTTTTGGCGACCAAAATAATTTAGTAGCCAAAAGTATAGGTTTTGGCGACTAAAAAACAGTTTGGTTGCTGAAAGTGAAGCTTTTTGGCTACTAAAAAAAATTAGTAGCTAAAAACAGGCAATTGGCGATTAAAATTCAGTTTACTAGCCAAAAGGGGACGCTTTTGGCGACTAAAAACAAGTTTAGTCGCCAAAACTGTTTATTTTTAGGCGGAACTTATTTTTTTAGCGACTAAAAAATAATTAGTAGCCCAAAATTACAGAATTGGCGACTAAATAATGGATAGACACCAAAAGTGGCCTCAATTTTTTTTTTAGTAAATAATTTATTTTTTACATAAATTATATTGAATAAAAATAATTATATTTATATATATAGTTTTATATTAATATGGGTCAATATACTATATAAATAATATATATTGCATATATATTCATGTGGTGTTGTAGTGGCATAGTGGAGGGAGAGTGTTGCTAAAGGTTTAGAATGTGGGACAGGTTGGTGGTTCGAATCTCAGAAAAAGCAAAAAAGTTGGTATTTTTTTTTTTCACAGAAGCACCTTTGGCGACTAAAATTATTAGTCGCCAAAAGTCTTTATTTTGGCGACTAAACGGTTTAGTTGGCGATTCAGTGAGTATTGGCAACTAAAGGATTAGTCGCTAAACGTATGATTTTCAAAAGTGTAAATCACTATTGGCGACTAAAACTTTGGTCGCTAAAGACCTGTTTTTTGCCGACTAAAAAAGTTTTAGTCGCCAATACCTCCGGCGACCATGTATTCGCGACAAAAGCGGCGACTAAAAGTTTTAGTCGGGAAAACTAAAAAGTCGACTTTTGGCGACTAAAAATGGACTTTTTTTTTAGTCGCCAAAGGTGATTTTTCTTGTAGTGTATTGTCCCATGAAGAGTAGAAAAAAAATTATGAACACATAGGGGTGCAAGTAATTTTACGGTGGGATGTAAGTGAAAATTTGTGGAGGTGAAAGTCTTCCATGTTTTTGTAATTTTTTTTTCTTCTACCCCATTGGCAGGAATTCCCCCTTTAGTTGTTTTTAGATAGTAATTTATTACACTTAGTTGTATTTTGTGTTATGTGGGACATTTTCAAAATAATTTTGTATGTTTTGTTGTATGATATGATATATTTTTCTCCTTATCTCTTTGGTATCAACAACTGTTAGATGGCCTTGTTTGACAAAAGTTTTTTTTTTTGTTTGTTTTTTTAGTTAAAATTCAAAAAAAAATGCTAAAATAATCAATAAGATAAAATGTCACATTGAATCTATAATTATTTCACTTTTTTCTCTTGTATATATCACGCCCAACTACAAAAAAATTCAACCATATTTTCAAACATAAATATTTTGGAGAAGGATTTCCTCCCTTCCAAATTTTGGATTGGAGGGCTCTGTTTGGGTTCGTGGGGCTGGCCACAGGTCTTGTTTCAATGATCCGAACTGTTAGTTTTGTCGGCCACTTTGTGTATTTCATGCACGAAAAAAACAATTAGGTCGATTCAATAACTATAACTTGTTCAATTTATTATGTTTGTGACTAAAAAAATGTATGATTTATTTTTAAAAATACAATTGTTGTCTATTGTTTTAGTGAAAAATTAAACAAGTTACAATTATCATATCGATCTTTTTTTTTATGGATGAAATATACAAAGTATCCGATAAAATGAACGGTTCGAATCATCGAAACGGGACCGTAATGGCCCCACGAACCCAAACAATGTCTTCTAATCCAAAATCTAGACTGAAGGGGATTCTTCTCCAATATTTTAACCTACCAAAATAATCTAAAATTAAAATAATTCACTAAAATAATTAACTTTCCAAATAAGACCTATATTTCATAAAAAAGCATAACTACTCAAATTGATCATTCAAATATTAATATCAACAAACTGATTTTATCCAAATATCATATCTATACTATATATTAAGCAGAAGGGGGTTTTTAACCCCCAAAGTCTGTGGGAGCTTCAATATGCCAATCCTAATTTTCTAATTTTTTGTTTAAAAAAAAAATTAACCTCAGCATTTATCAACTTCTCTCAACCCACAAGACTTTTTGACTTCTCTCATAATTGCTGCCGTACCTTTTCCAAAACAAATAATTTGTATATTAAAAAAAAATATAAATATCTATATTTATATCTATCTCTAACGCACAAGTTTTGTGGGAGTCCCAATATCTGAACCTTAATTTATTAATTTTTTTGATTTTTTTTGAAAAAAAAAAACTTAGCACTTATTAAATTCTTCCAAGTCTTTTTAACTTCTCCAATACACACACTCTTTTTAACTCTTCACATACCTATTGCAAACAGTGAATCTCCTTTTTGTTTTCTCCTTCTTGACTTCTCACTTCTACACTTTCAACTTTAGTGACCACGTATGCAAACAGTAAATCTTCTTTTTGTTTTATCCTTCTTGACTTTTCCTTTTGTTTACTGTTTTAATATTGTAGTTAGATAGCGCATAAAAATATTTGTGATTTGTCTAGCGAATAAAAAATTATAATTTGATTTTTTAATATGATTGAAGTTAGATAAATATAAACTCTCACAAAGAGAAAAATGTGATTATAATTAGTTGAATGATTCTTTTTTTTTAATGTGATTGTAGTTAGTTTAATAGTTCTTTTTTTTTCATTTATTTATTTTATTTTGGGAAAAATGTGATGTGATTGTAGTTTGTTCAATGGCTCTTTTTTTTTTTTTAATATGATTGCTGTAGTTAGTTCAATAGTTTTTTTTAATGTTATTTAATCTTTTTATTTACTATTTTAATTTTATTTTTGATATTTTAATATGATTGAAATTAGATAAATATAAACCCTCACAAAGAGAAAAATGTGATTATAATTAGTTGAATTGTTATTGATAAATCTATTTTAGAGTTGTTATAACCCATTAGGTCTACAAAGGAATATTATAACCTGATTAGTCCCATATACTTTTCTTTTTATTCCATAAAGTCCATTTTTCTAATTTAATATTTTTACCTGGACTATTATGGCCTTATATATATATACATATACAGTGTTAATACATATCACGTTGCCTGTTTCTTCGTTGATTCAGTTTTGGCAGTTTCTATCTTTACGCTTTTCATCATCATTCTAATTCAGAGGGATACGTTTCTATTTTGCATGTTCGTTCCAAGGCTTTGATGTGCTAGGGTTTCATTCTTGCTGTTGTAGTCTGGTTCGGTGATTTTCGAGTGAAGACGACGAATTGGAAGGTGTTCGATTGTCACATTTTCTGGAGTATAACTAGTTCAAATCAGTTGTTGTCGAGTTACTAGACGATTGTAGGATTGCATGATTAAGGTTAGTATCATTTTGGTTATAAATACATGTTCAGTTTACGTTTTCATTTGTATGATGGATCAAATGCTTTGTTTTTGGATTGAAATGGATCGGTTGCTCTGTTTTTTTAATTATATGCTTTTTACGTGGTCCTGTGGAGGGGAGTTCATTCACATTTTGTGAAGAATGTGTAGTTCTCATTTTACTTTGATGTATCCATAATGAGGCTCTGTGCGGATGATATAATTTAGAGTATATGTATCAATGTGAATGTTTACATCTTGTTAATGTGAATTATGTGAAGAATGTGGATGTTCTCATTTTAAATTGATGTTTGCTTAATGAGGCTCTGTGTGTGTGATATAATTCAGAGTACATGTGTTAATGTAAATGTTGACATCTTGACATCTTGTTAATATTATGTGCAGAATGTGGATGTTCTCATTTTACTTTGATGTTTGCTTAATGAGGCTTTGTGTGGGTGATATAATTCGAAGTATATGTATATGTATCAATGTGAATGTTCACATCTTGTTAATGTGAATTATGGATTTAGCACTTGAACTGTACACATAGTCTTCTAATTTTTGCACAATGTGAATTTTCATATCGATTTGCATTATTGTTCATTGTTGTGTTGTTGTGTTTTTACAGGAGATGGATACCTTTATGATGTTGGTGTGTACATATGGTTGCAGTACAACTGTAATAAATGTTGCCCGTGCATTGTGTTATTCTCGTTTGGTGGAGTGTTTGTGTGAAAAATGGGATAAGTTGTCTGCTGGTTCTGTTTCATTGTTCTGTAAACTACCTGGGATTAGTAGGTGTGATTTGGACAATGAGGAAGACTTTCAAAACATGTTACTGCTTGCTAAATCAATGGGGGTACAACATGTAGAAGTTGTTGTTGAGTTGAAAAGTGATATTGGTTAGTCAAGTAGCTCTGGGTCGCTGCGTATGGGGATTGAGGAAGAAATTGA